GGGGCCCAAAATGCCACGCGCGGCCGAGCCAATCGGAGCGTCGGGAGGCGAAACCCCGCCCCGGAGGCCTCCTGCCTGGAGTCAGACACGCCCCTGGAGACGAAACCCCGCCCCTGGAGGCCGGAGGGCAGAGCAACTCCTGGAGCGCAGCCAGAGCCGCCTGCCACAGCACGCTCCGCCTGAGTATCACGGATAAATGCGGCGCCCCTGTTACCCAGCCACCTCTCCGAGTCTTATCCAGTCTGACTGACAGCCGTGCTCAATGACACACGCAGTGTGGTTCTGAATGCCGCAGCACCCCAGGAAACGTGTCAGGTCACCTCCTGGCCCCTCCAGGCCACCAAGTTCCGCATGCTGTCTCTCTGGGCTTTAGGTCACTAACATACACATATCGGCCTGTGCACATTTTACCCGAGTAAAAAGGAAAAACAACAGCTCAGAAACACCTGCTTAGCGTCCACCATTGTGTCTGATGCTGACCGTGGTGGCACACCTGTCATCCCAGCACTGAGGGGGCTGAGTCAGGAGAATCGGTAGGAGTTCAAGGCTGGCCTGGGCTACATAGTTAGTTCAAGGCCAGCGTGAGCTACAGCGTGAGACCTGTCTCAAAACAAGAACAAAAAGGCGACAGAGAAAGATGCCCGCTGGATGAAGTGTTCACACAGCAGGCAAGATACTGAGCCCGAGGGTATGTGGGGTGGAGGAGGGGGCCCAGCAAGGACAGGTGTTGAGAAACCAGACAGAGCAAGGCCGACTATGTCAAAATATCCAACACCAGCAGATGAAAGTCACCCTGTCCTCCAAGACCCTGAGGTATACACAAATCCAAAAGTTCTTGGCCCTGGCCTGACTCCAGCATAATTTGTACTGTGGCTTTGACCCCCCCCATAGGCTTTGAACAGAGTATTTCCCCTAAAATATTGGTATGGTCAAAAATACCCTGTCACCTAGAATAGCAAAGACAATTCTGGGCAACAAAGGCAAATCAGGGGATATCATGATCCCTGCTTTAATTACACTACAAAGCTATGGTTATAAAAACAGTATGGTACTGGCAAAAGAACAGACTTGAGCACTGGGGATATAGCTCCGTGGTGCCACGTCTACCTGGCAAGTACAAAGTCACGAGTTTGATTCCCTGTTCCACCAAAAAAAAAAAAAAAAAAAAGAAAAGGAAAAGAACAGACTTGAGAATTTATGGAACAGACTAGAAGATGTAGAAACAATTCCAAACATTCAATCACCTTATCTTTGACAAAGGAGCCAAACATCTACACTGCAGGAAGGATAGCCTCTTTAATAAATGGTGCTGAAAAAACTGGCTTTCCACCTGCTGAAGATTGAAACTAGACCCATATCTTTCACCATGAACTAACCTAAAATCAAAATAGATAAGAAATCTAAATATTAAAATAGAAACACTAAATCTGCTGGAAGAGAGAATATGTAGAACACTTGAGGACATAGGAGTAGGCAAAGAATCCATGAACAAAACCCAGACTGCACAGGAAATACTACAAAGAATCAACAACTGGAATCTCTTCTGGAATTTTTTGTTTTGTTTTGTTTTTTTGTAGAGGGGATCGACTCAGGACCTTGTGCTTGCAAGGCAGATGGCAGAACCACTGAGCTAAATCCCCAGCATTGAACCTTATCTTATTAAAAAGTCTTTGTGAGTTGTCTCTTCACTCTGAAAAAGCTATGCAAGTTTGTTTGTTTGTTTTTCTTCTCAGAGTGGGAAAATTTTTACCAGCTATTCAAATAAAGGACTATTATATAGAATATATAAAGAAAAAATAGAATATATAAAGAACTCAAAAAATCAGACACCCCCCCCAAATTTAAAGACCCAGCGCAAAAATGGGCATCTGAAATAAAAAGACATTTCTCAGATGAATAATTAGAAATGGCAAATAAGAGCCAGGGACTGGTGCTGCCACCAGCCTCACCAGCACAAGGTCCCTAGTTCAATCTCCTACATGAAAAAAATGTTCAACATCACTGGTCATTCATGAAATGCAAAATAAAACAATGCTAAGATTCCATCTCACTCCAGAAAGAATAGCTGCTATCAAGAAATCAACTGATAAATGCTGGAGGGGCTGTGGCGAGAAAGGAGCTCTGCTCCACTGTTGGTGGGAGTGCAGACTGGTGCAACCCCTGTGGAACACACTGTGGAGATTCTTCAAAACACTAAACCCTGAGGTTCCATTTGACCCAGCTATACCTCTTCTTGGAATCATCCCTAAAGAATTAAAAGCAGGGCATTTGGCTCAGTGGTTCTACTGCCTGCCTCTGAAGCAGAAGTTCCTGAGTTTGTTCCCCAGTACAAAAAAAAAAAAAAATGTCCCGGGTGAAGCAGGAGACTAGGGTGTGGCAAAGCTGGCTGGGGAAGTAGGCTGACCTGTTAATTATAAAATGTGGATACATGGGCAGAACAGGCACTGAAGTCCTGCACTGGGCTTCTCAGAAGTGAGTCGGTTTTCCATAGGACAGCCTGGACTGACCTCAGCCTGAGTAAATGGAATACAAAGTGGACAGTGGCCACTGAGCACCATGTCTCGTGTCCTCTCTTGCACAGGTGGTCTCAGGCTGTAGAGTGTACAGACTTTACTCCTTTGATAACCAAGTTCTGTTCCTGCAGCTAGGTCATTTAATGAATTGGTCCCTAAATGAAGAATTGTACGTAGTGTGTACATCACAATATTCAGAACAAATAAATACTCAAAGGAAACTGGCTTGATGACATTGATTTTAATGTGCCTCTTACATGCACTACTGTAACATATAACATTAAACTACAGTACTGTACCATAGAGTTCCATCAACAAATATGGTGAGCCTTGACATGAGCACAGCCATACTGACCTGTGATTCACCAGAGCAGTGTGGACGTGCCGTCACCCATAACAACGGGCTAGTTCAACTGGTGGTCTGACCTATTGCCTAGCAAATGTAACCCATAATACTTGTTTTGTAGAGCATTGTGACCTTTGCAGTCAGCTACGCCCTATTCACACTTTTGGTTTCGGTTTTAGCCTATATATTCTCCACCCTGAAAAATAAACGGGGCCTTGCTACGAAGAGAGCATGAGCCTGGAACCAAGTCCGTGAGACTGTTTTCTCCCCTGTTGTTCTTCCCTTGGGTTTGGGACCTGCTGGCAGGATCCTGACCTTGCTGCTCGCGACAAACAAAAATAATAGTACTTTGTAAACAAGGTGTACAGCATCAAAAACAGACATTGAGGCTCTGTAAACAATGTGCAGCAGGGCCACGACGTAGCTCAGTGGTGCCGCTGCCTGCCTCGCAAACAAAGGTCCTGAGTTCGAGCCCCGGTACCTCCCAAAAAAGGATACACAGGCAGGCATTATAAAACCTAGGACCTTACTTCCACTCCGAGGAGCTTGAACAGCCGAAAGGGCCTCCAAGATGCCGGGGCGTATAGCCCAGCGATTGCTCCAGGAGTTTGACGAGCAGCGAGAATCACCCAGGAAGGAATGCCGGACTAGTTGGAAAACAGACCTGTATTAGTCCCGCCTGATGGCACTCCTGGAGCCAAGTAGCTCCGAGAGGCAACAGCTCAGGGGCTTAGGCTGTTTTTATAAGTGGATAGGCAGGGTGAGGGTCTATAACAGATGCCTACAGAATGTCCCAAGGTTTTCAAAACATTCCTTCCGGCAGACAAGGAGCGAAACCATCTTATCTATTCACCCAGAACTACTAAACCTTCACCTGTTAATTTACATTAATCACAGTTGAGACTAGGAACTTACTTAAGATTATAAAATTATGCAGTCCCACAGCATGAAGTTGATATAGGCCCCAAGTAATCCAGAAATTATATAGGGCAAGTAATCCAAATTAGCAAAAATACTTCAAACAAGAGAAATATAGCCTCAATCTGCTAGATATCCAAAATGCGAGTTTGTGCTCTCTAAAATTGAAGACTGAATTCTAGGAACAATGGAGGTTAAGGGTAGGAAAATTTTATTGAGAGAAAGCCTCTACCTAAGAGAGACAAAAGGGGCACCAGAAAATGGGGTGCCAGTAGACCCTGCTTCTCAAAGGTGTTTTATGGGACAAAGACATGAGGTGAGGCAGGTTCAAGGTAGAACAAAACTATAGTAAACTAGTAAGATTGCAAGTATACTCACTGAGGTAATATTGATCCAATGAGAAATCGCAAAGTGGGCAAAACTATGATCAACCAATAAGATTACAAGTACAATTGCTTAGGTGATATTGATTAGATGGGGATCCAATGGGGAAGCAAGTCAGGTAGAAACCGTACAAGGATTTCCAGTCAGGGATCTTTCATGGAGGGGGTGGGGAAGATCTTGGTCCCCCACCCAGATGATTGATAGCTATTTAGAATATCAATCACTGCCATTCATCCTGAGGGGAAGCGCATGAGTGTGGGAGTTTCTCTCCTTTTACAATGCTGGCCTTCAAAGAATGTGTCTCTTTTTCCCTTGTTGTCTCCTCAAAGGCTGGCCCTAACTGCCTAAGAGATATCTAATTAACATACCTATCTGCAATATTTTGATAAATTTTGTTTTGTTCTGTCTTGTTTGAGACAAGGTCTCACCATGTAGTCCAGACTGGCCTAAACTCAGCAATATCCTCCCACCTCAGCCTCTCAAGTGCAGGGATTACAGGCATGGTTTTTTTGGTGGGGTTTTTGTTTGTTTTGAGGGTTTTTTTAATTGCTGTTGTTTATTTTTGGTGTTTTGAGACAGGATCTCACTAGATAGCCCAGGCTGGCCTCCTAGAAGTGATCCTCCTTCCTCTGCCTCCCAAGTGCTGAAATTGCAGCCATGCCCCAACACACCCAGCTCTTTTATATTTTGAGATTGTGCCTCACAGAGTCACTAATTTATCCAGGCTGGGTTTGAATTTGCAGTTTTCTTGCCTCAGCCTCCCAGAGTGCTGGGATTACAAAGCCTGCATCACATTCCCAGCTCAACTGGTTTGAGCCAGACAAGAGGACCTCAGACTTCCTGAAGGGCACCTAAGGTGGGCATAGCCACCCCTGCCAGCCATGTCTCCATGTCCCCATAGCAGGGGTATTATCTCTGTAGAATTGTGGGTGAATCCCTCATTTTTACCTCAGCTCTGACCACAGGTGCTGACAAAGCCAGCAGAAGCTCAGGAGTGCCCAGGACTCCTCACCACTGTTGTGAGTCCTGGTGTAGTGGTGTGGGAAGTAAAATGACCGCAGCAGTCCAGATTCCTAGCCCTGGGACTTGAGGTTTAAAGCAGCAGGTGGAGCCAGCTGCAGTGGTCACATCTATAATCCCAGCACTCAGTGAGGCTGAGGCAAGAGGATCTCAAATTTGAGTTCAGCCTGGC